ACATTTGTGGCAAGAGATGAGGATGGGGAACCCCAGAGGAACCAGATCACAGAGGGTCTTAAATGCAAAGCTAGAGAGCTTGGAATTAGCCTATAAACCAAAGGGAGTCAGCAGTAGTTTTCGAGCAGGGCTTTGATGTAGTTAGCTTTGTATCTCACTCATGTTTCTGGTTTCTGGATTTGGTTGGCTTTCCAAGCCTAAGTGAGGGAGGAATGGTAGGTATACATGTTCCAGAGCAGAAAAAGTATCTGTGCTTCTTCTGAGCAGATAGGAGAACCATAGCCTTTGCTACTCTCTTCAGTTTATTTATTTTTTTATCCTCACCTGAGGACATTTTTTCATTTTTTGTTCAGATAGAGTGGGGAGGGAGAGAGAGAGAGAGAAACATCGACATGAAAGGGACACATTGAGTGGTTGCCACCTGCACGACCCAACCAGGGCCGGGGACAAACTGCATCCGAGGTACATGTCCTTAGTGGGAACTGAACCCGGGTCTCTCTGGACCTCAGGCCGACGCTCCAACTGCTGAGCCAAACCGGCCAGGACAACTCTCTTCAGTTTAGACAAAAGGTGCAGCAGAACCATTCCTGTGATCTTATACCCAAAAGCCCTTTGTTTGTTTGTTTTTATTTTTTATTTTTGTTGTTGATCCTCACCTGAGGATATTTTTCCATTGATTTTTTTTTTTTTTAGACGGTGGAAGGGAGGGAGAGAGAGCGGGAGGGAGGGGGAGGGGGGAGAGAGAGAGAGAGAAACAAACATCGATGTAAGAGAGACACGTCCATTGGTTACCTCCACCAGGGCTGGGAATCAAACCTGCATCTCAGGTACGTGTCCTTGGCCAGAATCAAACCCGCAACTCATCGGTCTGAGGGCTGATGCTCTTAACCTCTGTGTTTGTTTCTTTTTAATCAGTTTACTACCAGAAAGACTCTCAGCCCTGCTGAAATACTTGCTCTTAGCCCAGTGTAGCATTATGGAACAAGCACAGCTTTAGAATCAGAAGACCCAAATTGAAATCTCAGCTCTGTCAGCTGTTGCCTGAGTAAGCCTGAACAAGTCCCTTTACCTCTCAGAGCTTCAGAATAATAATGTACACCTTCCAGCATTGTTTTCAGGATCAAATGTGGTAACTTGTGAGTGCATTTTAGGTGTTAAGTATGATCCACGTTTTTGTTTTAACAGAGGCACTGTGACACACTGTAGTTTCCTCTACTTCAGGCATTTCCACGCCATCTTGACAGATTTTACCATCTCTGATGAAACCAGGATTACTTACTTTATATTTTCTTGAAATTAGCTTTTTTAAAGAAACCAAAATTAACTTTTGAAGGGAATTTTTTATCACCTTGTGAATAGAAAAATCAGTGTGTGTGTGTGTATGTATATATTTTTTTAATTCTCACCTGAAGACATACTTAGAGAGAGAGAGAGAGAAACATCAGTTAATTGCCTTCTTTAAGTGTCCTGACTGGGGGGATCGAACTCCAACCCAGGTGTGTACCCTGGCTGGAAATTGAACTGGCAGCCTTTTGGTGCCCAGGACAACGCTTAACCGAGTCACTCCAGCGGGGTGAAAATCAGTATTTTTTAATGCATGTTGAGATAAATGTATAATTAAGGGTTTACGCACTACCTAAAATTATGTCTCTCCAGTGGGATGCACACACTATAGGAAATACTAGTAGTGGAAAGAAATCTGGAATCCAACCTTGATCCTGCTGTTTAGTTTCTGCTACCTTAAGCAAAATACTTCATTTCTCTGAGCCTTAGATTCATCTGTTCATTGGGAGTGATACTGATACTTTCCTTGTGGATTTATGGATGGGGTTGAGGGACAACATGAACTTTTAAATATCAGAACAAGAAATTGCCTAGAGCCCTGGCTGGTTTGGCTCAGCGGTTAGAGCATCGACCTGCGGTCCAGGGAGACCTGGGTTCGGTTCCCGCTAAGGGCACGTACCACAGTTGCAGTTTGTCCCCGGCCCTGGTTGGGTCGTGGGGGTGGCGACCACTCGATATGTCCCTTTCACGTTGATGTTTCTCTCTCTCTCTCTCCCACTCTATCTGAACAAAATATCGAAAATGTCCTCGGGTGAGGATTAAAAAAATAAAAAGAAATTGCCTAGATGCAAATCTTTAAGGTTTGTGGCCCTTTAAACTAAGAAGAAAGCATGTTGACAAGACCGTGAGAGACTACAAGAGAATTAGATTTAGTGTTCTATCTGCCAGTGATCTTTGTTCTGTATCTGTGAGCTGAAACAAAGACATGTGAGATGTCAGTATTGGAAATAGAAGTGCCTGAAAACTGTCATTGACCCTGGAACAGCAGAGAAGGAATTTTAAGGATTTTTAGAACTTGAAATTGGAGTTGAAAGAGAACTGTCAGACAGTCAGGCATGCTTCACAGGCTGTGTCCAAATGCACAGCAGTAAAGTAGACTATGCTGCCTCCATTTCACAGATGAAGGTACTAAGGTGCCTCTAAAGTTGAGAGTGGTTTTTTTTTAACTCCTGAGTTTGGAGAAAGAGGCTGGGGAGAGGGAAGGATTAGTTACTGAGTACCTACTTTATAAGCCAGGGTCTATGCTTGGTGCTTTAGCTGTATGTTTTATATATAATCCTTACACTACCCCCGTAAGACAGGTTCCAGTAGCCCCTCTTTATTCTTCAGTAAATTTTGTTTATTCTGAAGTTTTATATATTCAGAGATGTGAAGAAACTTGACTGTAATTACACAGATGAAGCAGAAAACAGGATTAGACCCAAACTTGTCTAATTCTGAAGTGTATAATCTAAGGAGACCAAGAATAATGCCAGCTGCCATGACCGGTTTGGCTCAGCAATTGGAGCATCGGTCTGCAGACCAGAAAGTCCCGGGTTTGGTTCCCGCTAGGGGCACATACCAAAAAAAAAAAGAATAATGCCTGCTTTAAGGAAAATGAACTCCTGTCCATTTTTCAGTTACTACAGGAACTGAGTGTTATACTTGGAGTCCTTACCTTTTGAGGCAACTAACCCTGATCCAAGGACTTTCTGTATTCTTCATGGTAATTTTCTTTCAAGTAGCTATATTATAGCAAAGCTTGCTCTCATGTGATGCCATTAATTTATCCTCTTACTCCTTCCAAACCACCCTCCACAGATATTTCAAAAATGCCAGCTTGACCTCATTCCTCTCCTGCAGTCTATCATTATCCTCAGGTTCCTTTGCTAAAGTGCATATTCTCTGCCTGGCATTCAAGGCTCTCTGTGATCTAGCCTCATTTGGCCTCTCCAGCTTCATCTTTTGTTGTTGTTGTTGTTAATCTTGCACGACCTTGACCAGGGCCGGGGATCAAACCTACAACTCAGGTACGTGCCCTTGACTGGAATTGAACCTGCGACCCTTTGGTCTGGTGGCTGTCACTCTAATCACAGAGCCAAACCAGCCAGGGCTCTAGCCTAATCTTTTACTACTGTATGCACACACACATGCTTCAGCCAGACTGAACCACTTGGAAATTCCCAGAAAGAGCACTCCATGCTTATTTTCAACTTGCAGCTTTTCTGTGCGTTGTTCACTCAGTCTGGAGACCCTTTTCCTGCCTGCATAAACCCTGCTCATCCGTAAAATTCAACTCAGACGTTGTCTTTTCTAGGAAGCTTTACCAGACACCAGAGCCTTTCTATAATCGCAAATCAGGGGTTTTTTCTCTGTGCCCCAATACTAAGTGCTCCATAAACAATGAAGGTAATAGTATTAGTAGTTGTAATTCTTTTTTTTTTTAATCCTCACCCGAGGATATTTTTTCATTTATCTTTAGATAGAGAGGGAGGGAGAGAGAGAAAGAGAGAGAAACGTCAAGGTGAGAGAGACATATCTATTGGTTGCCTCCTGCACGACCCCAACCCGGGCTGGGACCAAACTGCAACCGAGGTGTGTGCCCTTGACCAGAATTGAGCCCACGACTCCTTGGTCCACAGGCCGACACTCTGTTCGCTGAGCCAAACCAGCCAGGGCAATAGTTGTAACTTTTTTTTTTTTTTATGGACTTTAAAAAGAGAGGAAGAGAGAGGGTGAGAGAGATATAAAATATAAACATCAGTTGACTGCCTCCTGCATGCTCCACACTGGGGATCGGGCCCACAACCTGGGCATGTGCTCTGACCAGGAATTGAACCAGTGACCTCTTGGTGCATGGGGTCGGCACTCAACCACTGAGCCACACCGGCCAGGCAGTAGTTGTAATTCTTAATGAGGTTGGTACTATTTGAAGGATGCTTGTTACAGTTACAAAATGCTAAGTAGCTTCTTACTTTTGTTGAATCACCTGAGTGGAAAATCAATGGCAAGGGAACTATGCCTTTGTAGGGAGGAAGGAGAGAAGTCAATACTCTGATTAATTTTTTAAAAGCAAAACAGAAAAAACCTTTTTTCTCATTCAACAAATTAGACTCAAACTTAGACTAGAAATAAAAATATTTAAAGCCCAGCCAGTGTGGTTCAGTGGTTGAGCGTCAACCCATGCACCCAAGAGTTCTCTGGTTCAATTCCTGGTCAGGGCACACGCCCAGGTTGTGGGCCAAATCCCCATTGTGGGACATGCAGGAGGCAGCCAATCAGTGTTCTATCTATCTCTCCCTCTCCCTTCCTCTCTCTCTAAAATCAATAAAGAAAAAATAGTTTAAAAAAAAAAAAAGAATATTCGTCTCCTTGAATTTACTAAACTCCTCAGATGCATCATCCTGATGGGATATTTGTAGCTATGGGGCTATTAATAATGCACTCACTTTGGTTGAGCATATTGAATGTATACAGTGTGGATCCAGTACCTTGGGGGCCCCAAAGTATCTGCTGCCTATGAGGTAACCTGGAATGAGTATTTGCTTTGAGGCCAGAAAGACCTGCGTTGTAAGCTTATCTTCACCTGGTACTACCTTGTGTTTTGGCCAAAGTTCTCTTTTTGTACCTAGACTTCTGTGGACATGGTTCTGACTTTTGCTTATGTTCCCTTCCAGCAATCAGAGAAGATGGCATGCCTGGAGGCCGGAATAAGAGCATTGGGCCAGTCCAGGTGAGTTCTAGGCCTCACTCTTTGTGATCCATCCTGGAAACCCAGGGTTCCAGATGCTCCTGTAGCTGCTCACTTTGATCCTCTCATCTGCTACTGGGATTTCTGGGTCATATGGTAGTGCTATTTTTAATTTTTTTGAGAAACCTCTGCACCATTTTCCATAGTGGCCACACCATTTTTTATTCCCACCCTGCAATGCACATAGATTCCAATTTTCCACATTTTCTCCAGCATTTATTCTTTAGGTTTTTTCTTTTTTTCTTGTTTCTTTCTGATAATGGCTATCTTAATAGGTATGGAGTGATATCTCATTGTATTTTTGTTGTTTTTAATCCTCACCCGAGGATATTTTTCCATTGATTTTTAGATAGAGAGAAAGGGAGAGAGAGAAACATCTATGTGAGGGAGACACATTGATTGGTTGCAGGGACCAGGGATCAAACCTGCAACCCAGGTACATGCCTTTGACTGAGGATTGAACCCACAGCCCATTGGTTTGGGGGCTGATGCTCTACCCACTGAACCAAACCGGCCAGGGTTCCTTTGACCATTTTAAAATTAGGTTGATTTTGCCCTGGCCAGTTTGGCTCAGCAGTTAGAGCATCGGCCTGCAGTTCAGAGACACCTGGGTTCAGTTCCCGCTAAGGGCACGTATCTCAGTTGCAGTTTGTCCCTGGCCCTGGTTGGGTTGTGCGGGTGGCAGCCACTCGATGTGTACCTTTCACGTCGATATTTCTCTCTCTCTCTCTCTCTCTCTCTCTCTCCTTCCCACTCTATCTGAACAAAAAATGAAAAAATGTCCTCGGGTGAGGATAAAAAAATAAAAATTAAAAAATAATAAAATCAAGTTGATTTTTTTTCTTTTTTCTGCTGTTGAGTTGTAGGAATTCCCTATGTATTTTGGATATTAACCCTTTATCAGATATATGGTTTGCAAATATTTTCTGTCATTCTGTCGGTAGACTGTTCACTTTATTGATTGCTTCCTTTGCTTTGCTGAAGTATATTAGTTTGATGTAATCCCATTTGCCTATTTTTTATTTATTTTTTGCTTGTGCTTTTAGTGTCATATTGAACAAATCACAAGCCCTGGCAGGGTAGTTCAGTTGGTTAGAGTGTCAAACCCATATGTCAAAGTTGTGGTTTGATCCCCGATCAGGGCACCTACAGGAATCACCCAGTGAATTAATAAATGGAACAACAAATCGATTTTTCTCTCTGTCTCTCTCCCTCTCCCCACCTTCTTTCTCTAAAATTAAAAAAAAAAAAAAAAAAAATTATCACCACGGCCAATGTCAAGAAACTTTTCCTTGTGTGTTTTAGAAGTTTTATATTTTTAGGTCTTACATTTAAGTATTTAGTCCATGCTGAGTTGTTTTTTGTGTAGGATGAGATTCTAATTTCATTCTTTTGCTTATGGATATACAGTTTACCTAACACCACTTTTTGAAGAGACTGTCCTTTCCCCATTGTGTAGTCTTGGCATCTTTGCAGAGATCTTTTGACTATGTATGCATGGATTTATTTGGGGGCTCTCTGCTCTGTTCCCTTAATCTATATATCTGTCTTTAAGCCAGTATCATACTGTTTTAACTACTATAGCTTTGCAATATGTTTTGAAATAGAGAACTGTAAGACCTCTAGCTACGTTGTTTTTTCTCAGGATTGTTTTGGCTGTTTGGTATTCTTTCTGCTTCCATAAGAATTTTAAGATTATTTTTTCTCTTTCTGCAAAAAATACCATTGGGATTTTTTTTTTATCCTCGCCTGAGGACATTTTTCTATTTTTGTTGTTCAGATAGAGAGGAAGGGGGAGAGAGAGAGAGAGAGAAACATCGACGTGAAAGGGACACATCGAGTGGCTGCCACCCGCACAACCCAACCAGGGCCGGGGACAAACTGCAACCAAGGTATATACCCTTAACGGGAACTGAACCTGGGTCTCTCAGGACCACAGGCCAATGCTCTAACCACTGAGCCAAACCAGCCAGGGCACCATTGGGATTTTGAAAGGAATTACATGGAATCTATAGAGCACTTTGGGTAGCATGGGCATTTTAACAATAGAAAGCCTTTCAACCTATGAACACAGTATGTTGTTTTATTATTATTATTATTTATTTTTTTTATCTTTATCCAAGGATATTTTTGTGTTTATCTTCAGATAGAGTGGAGGGAGAGGGAGAGAAGGGGAGGGGGAAAAAAAGAAACGTCGACATGAGAGGGACACATTGACTGGTTGCCTCCTGCACAACCAGACCAGGGCCGCCAGGGACAAACCGCGACTAAGGTACGTGCTCTTAGCCAGAATCCAACCCACGACTCATTGGCCCGCAGGCCGACACTCTACTGCTGAGCCAAACTGGCCAGGGCTGGATGTCTTTTAATTTATGTTTTTACTTTCTTTCACCTCCTTAGTTAAAGTTATTCCTGAGTATTTTATTCTTTGATAATATTGTAAATGAGATTGTTTTCTTAATTTCCTTTTGGAAAATTTATTATTAGTGTAAAAATGATTTTTTTTTTTAAATCCTCACCTAAGGATATATTTTTTCTATTTATCTTCAGATAGAGTGGGAGGGAGGGAGGGGGAGAGAGAGAGAGAAACATCGATGAGAGAGAGAAACATCGATAAGAGAGAGACACATCGACTGGCTGCCTCCCACACAACCCCGACCAGTGCTGGAGACCAAACCACAACTAAGGTACGTGCCCCTGACTGGAACCAAACCTGTTTCTCTTTGGTCCCTGGGCTGATGCTCTTAACTGCTGAACCAAACCGGCCAGGGCAAAACTGATTTTTGTATGTTGATTTTGTATCCTGCAACTTTGCTGAATTCTTTTATTAGTTCTAACAATTTTTTGGTGTAATCTTTAGGGTTTTCTACCTATAAGATAATGTCATTTATGAACAGAGATAATTTTACTTCTTCCTTTCTGATTTTTAGATGCCTTTTATTTCTTTTTCTTGTCTAGTTGCCCTGATAGGACTTCCAGTACTATGTTGAATAGAAATGTTAAGAGTGCCTTGATCCTGATCTTCATGGAAAGCTTTGTTTTTCACCATTGAGCATGATGTTAACTGGCTCTCCTTACATCTCCAGACTATTTAGAATTGAGGCAGCTGATGTTTAGAGAAACCTATTTTATCTGTCATTGTATTTGACTCTTTGATACTGGGCATATAATTTTTCTTTTAGTCTTTTACTGTTCCTATGGTGTGTTAGAAAGAGAGATCTGTGATTTCCAAGTTCTTAACTGTGTTTAAGCATAATTAAAAATAAGGGATAGAATTTCCATTTATTGAGCACCTGTTGTGCCACCTGCATTTTATAACTTTATCTTAGATTAACCTCTCAAGTCTATCTGACTCAAACCTGCATATTTCTTTGCTCCCTAAACTATGAGGGAGATGGTATTATTGCCATTATCTCCTACAAATGAGGGAGCTAAGGCTTAGAGAACTTGAGTGGCTTGCTCAACAGTAAGTGCTCAGCTAGGAAAATGCAGATAAGATTTGAACCCAGCGTCAAGCACTCCCAACATGTTCCATCCTCTGTTCAATGCATCAGTGATTTCCCAGAGTTCCATGGGAGAGACTGGTGCAGGCTGACTTTGGCTCTCAGCTGGAATAAGTTGACATTCCGAGGACCAGCCCTTTTCACCCAGCTGAAGTTCTTCCATGCTCACCAAGCTCTGGTGCTCTCACCACCATCACTGAGGCTGCTTCAGTCAGGGCCTCAGTAGATACAGTATCTTGTAGTTCGATGGCGCCATTTGTCTTCACATGTCTGAAAAACATGTGATTTCAGCGTCCTAGGGACCCCTAAGAGAAAAAGTGTTGTTGTTTGCTACATGTGGCTGAATAAAGAAAGACAGTCTCTCAATTCAGTATGCAATCCAAGCTATTTAAGATCAATCGTTCAATTTGTACACCAGTTAAATGTTTCTTGTTTTCCCTCCAATTCCTGTGTGCTCTCTGGCTTTCACCTCTAAATGCCACCCGTGTTTATGATCGAAACAGCTCAAGGTTTCCTCACAGGCTCCTGGAGCAAAGAATTATGCAAGTTTGAGTTAAACAGACTTGGCAGATAATGTACTCATTCTTTTCAAAGGAACAAGTAATAAAAATTCATCTGGACTTTTCTCCTTAGCACTCACTCTCATTCTACGTGCTGAGTTTAGCCAATTAGGATTAGACACTTCTATAAAGTGTCTATTTACTCCCTATATGATGTAGCAAAGCAGCCAGAACACTGGACTGAATACTTGGATACTTTGGCCTCTTCCTCAAACTCCTGCCCAAACATGGGTATGCAGTGTGATCTTGGGCAAGTCGGTTCATTTGTCTGAACTTTCTTACTAAGAAAATCCATGTGAAGTTTTTTGGTCAATACTTAATAAGTGAGCACTTGTTTATTTATCCAACATGCATTTATTCAGCACTTATTTTTTTAAATCCTGTCATAGCCTTAGGTATTGTAGAGGCTATTTTAATGACTCATTACCATAAGTGCTATAAAAATAACACTAACAAAGATATCAGTGTAAGCCTTCCATAATTATTGCTGTGGGCCTTTTTCTAAAAATGTGATAATGTATTAACTAATTTAATCCTAACATCAATCCTATTATATAGATACTATTATTCTATCCACCATATACATGAAGGATTTTAAGTTTTAATAGTTAAGTGACTTGCCCAAGATCATACAACTAGGTGGCAGATCCTTGATTAGAACAATGGTGGTCTGACTCATTTTGCTGCTCGACCCTTCTCTCAGAATGCATGAAATTATGAATGGATAGAAGAAGGACCTAAAATTGTGTCTAGGTAGTGATAGGAGGGTTAATAAAGAAAGGGACATTTGAATTTAGTCTTAAAGGTCAAATAATAATTTATTATTGAAGAGAGGTGTTTCAGGGGTAGGAAAGGATGGACTCAAGGACAAAGGAGCTATGAAGAACCTAGAGGCTTTATGGTGTGAGAGGGGTAAATGGACAAGAATAAGGCTATGGTGAACTGTGGTGCTGGGATGCAAGCAACCAAGCTGTCCTAAATTAGTGGTGATAGAGCTGGAGTATGGAGGTAGAGAAGAGGGTATCTGAGTTTCTCATTAGAGGGTTTGGGAATCCCCATAAAGTTTAAATAAGTTCTCAGTCCTAAAGAAGGAACAGATAGGTATCCTGAGCACCCAATCTAACATGTATCAATTCCTTGTCAAAGATATCAGAGGAAGAGATTGAAAGGATCATGTCTGGGCAGGAATTTGAGGAAGAGGCCAATCACTGGAGCAACCATGGTGACAGCGACCACAGTTCCCCTGGGAACAGGGCTTCAGAAAGCAACCAGCCCTCACCAGGCTCTACTCTGTCCTCCAGGTGAGCTTCAAGGCAAACCCAGCATCATCTAGGGATCACCCGGGAAGTGGACACAAGGAACTAACTTTCTGTGCTGAATATTCCTGCCAGTCTGTCTCAGCCACTTGCTCCCTCAGTCTTTTGGAGTAGGGTCCAGCATAATGCAAAGCAGCATTTCACAACCCATTTTTGCTAAAGACCTTGAAAATGTCAGCTCTCTTCTGCAAATTGATAAAGTGCTATAGCTGCTATTTGTACCCATACATTATTCACCTAACATATAACATTTTAAATGTAGCTGTTTTCTCTCATTTACTTTACCACTGAAATCAAACAGGCCACACTGACAATGTTAAATTATGTTATAATTTCTCTGCCTTAGCAAGAGTGAAGATTTTCACTTTATAAATTTTAAGAAACAGAAAAAACTTTTTAACCTAGTCAACTTTGCTGCTATCACAGAATACCAATTTGGAGACTCTTGGTTCAAGAATGGTACCTTAAGTTCATTGTTAAGTGTGAAATATATCAGCTACCAGGGAAGGCTTTTTCCCCAGAAATCTTTCTTACAGAAAAGGGATCAACAAATTGTCTATAAAGGCCTGATAGTAAGTATTTTAGGCTTTGCAGGTTTACGGTCTGGGGCTCAACTACTCAGCTGTGCCATCATAGTACAAAAACAACCAGAGACAGTATGTCAGTGAATGAGTGGCTGTGTTCCAGTAAGACTTAATCTACCAAAACAGACTGTGGGCCATAGTTTGCTGATTCCTGTTTCAGGAGGTGCAGTGAAATAAAACTAGGTTTTTGTTTTAATTGGTTAAGCATGGCTAGATTTCTCCAAAAACAGGAAAGGAAAATAAGAATCTGCCTTTTTCTTCATATTTCATTATAACCTTTATTCATTCCATTGTTCCTTAGTTTATTCCTTCCTTTGGATGTTTAGGGAGTTGTTGCCACATGCCAGATTTGTTTAAGTGCTAGATTTGTTTTGTGGCCTGGTGAGGCACTTGGCCTGACAATGCTTTAGTTTTCTTAGCAGCAAAAAACAAAACACCCACCTTTGTCATAGTCTAAGAGTATCCATTAAAAAGTCTCTAAATGTTAAATCTGTGAAGACTTTATTTAGCCAATATTTATTCAGTATCTCCTCTACCAGGTCCTGAGTGTGGTAAGCTCTACATACACACACTTACAGAGTCCCTATCTAGTAGAAGAGAGGTGTATGAAACCATTAATTATGTCCCTGGCTTGATGAAGACATACTGCATGGCCAAAGAACACCTGAGCCACCTTTTGGCTCATTTCTTTGAGTAGCAAGCAGTAGGCCTGCCAGATTCTACCTGACATGAGACTTTTCTCTCCAGTAGGTCTGTGGAACTAAATGGATTTATGGCATTCAGGGAGCAGTACATGGGGATGTCTGTGCCTCCACACTATCAATACATACCGCACCTTTTTAGCTATTCTACCCACTCGCCACTTCTGCCCCCACAAGCTCGCAGCCTGGATCCCCAGTCATACAGTCTGATTCACCAACTGGTATCAGCTGAAGACCTGGAGCCATTGGGCACGCCCATGTTGATCGAAGATGGGTGAGTGAGCCATGCCGTTTAGCCCTTGCAACTTCAAAATGCTTCCTACCCCATACCCACCTTCATCCTTGGCTGCTTTATCCCAGGCTTCAGAATATGTCAGGAATGGTAAGTGATGGCTCAGCATCAGAAGGCAAATCTGTGCTTATCTTTGATGTTAGTACTCCCTCGTTTTTCTCTTGAGCATCTTATAGAGTTGGGACTTTTTATCAATCCCTGTGGAATTAGGCTTTTGTTTCTGCTTGGGTGTAGGTAAGCCAGGCCCCGGGATGGGTCTGAACACTTCTGAGCCAGAGATGAGCTGTAATTCTTGGATAATCATACATCAAGTGTAGGCTCCTAAGCCAGACACTGAAGGCACTAACTAATTTTAACCTGTCTGCATCCCTAGCCAACACACCCATGGGTAGCCTGATGCCGTGTGTGCAGGCCTGAGTCAGCTACCTGAGTAGATAATAGTTTAACCTTTAGGCCCATCCATTGCTGCACCCATTACTCCTTTGGCCTGCAGTATATGCCCTTTGAGTACAGTGGTACCTCGGTTCTCGAACATAATTCGTTCCAGGAGGACGGTCGAGAACCAAATTGTTCGAGAACCGAAGCAATGAAACCCAATAGGAAATAATGGAAACTGGATTAATTCATTCCAAGCCCCAGAAAATGCCTATTTACTGGCCTAATTTGTATATAATATGTAGAAAAACATAAGTCTCAACAAGAAATAAAAGTGTACAGTATGTCTAAGGGTTAAATTCAGTGTAAAGCGTGACTCTCTCCACAAAGCGTGACTCTCTCTCTGCACTCACACTGATGACGCAAGCAAGGCGCGCTGGGCCGAATGAACGCCATTCGGCTCAACTCGGCTCATCTCGGAAGTTCGAGTTCCAAATATTTGTTTGGATTCCAAGACAAAAGTTTCTCGAATCTCCTGGTCGAATACCGATTTGGTCGAAATCCGAGGCGTTCGAGAACCGAGGTATCACTGTATTTCCAAGCTTAGACCCCATCCAGAAGGTATCCTGAGATTTCTTAAGCTGGTCCAATTTCAAAGGAGAAATTAAAATATCTACCTACAAGAAGGCACATAAAAACTTTATAGATCCGGACATAGGGGTGCGGGGAAGAGTCATGCCAAGGGGCCTTAAGAGAAAGAACACTGGGACCCCTGTGTCATCCAGCCCAGAGCTGAGAAATGCCCTGCTGTTTTTATCCTGCAGTAGTTTAGAAGGGCTGAACAACTCTAACTCTGGTTTCTGAACTCTCACCACCAGGGGGTGTAGTGAGAGCAGGAAAAGCTTCTGAACTTGTTCTGTTCTTTCTCAGCCATTTGGCCCTAGGCTTGTTTTTCTGCCAGCCACTGTATTTGGTGGGCACCAGATTTCCCCTGGTGGAACCCTCATTGCCAAAACAAGTACAGGAGTGGCTGGGAATTTTCTCTAGTGGACACCAATATTAAAAGTCATGCTCCCTGATAACTGCACAAAATTTCTAAGATTCCTTTCCCCTGAGCAACCTTTCCTCACAAACCTACTTCTCTGGTCCTGAGATTACTACGGGCCCCACTCCTGCCCCTTTATCTGATTGAGTTTAATATAATTGGAGATCCACAGTGACAGGCAAGGAGCCCACTGCCAGAGACCCTTTGTGGCCTTGGGAATTTCCTCTTCCTGTGCTCTTCATCCTCACCCTCTGGCCACTGGAAGTGACTTTCCCCTATCTCTACCCCCAGATATGCTGTGACCCAGGCAGAGCTGTTTGCCCTGCTTTGCCGCCTGGCTGATGAGCTGCTCTTTAGGCAGATTGCCTGGATCAAGAAACTGCCTTTCTTCTGCGAGCTCTCAATCAAGGATTACACCTGCCTCCTGAGCTCTACGTGGCAGGAATTAATTCTGCTATCCTCCCTCACCGTTTACAGCAAGCAGATCTTTGGGGAGCTGGCTGATGTCACTGCCAAGTACTCACCCTCTGATGAAGAGCTACACAGGTGAGGGCTGCTGGCTGGGGGGAGTTCCCAGGCAACCAAACCGTTGTCATCCCTACAAGGCAGCAGGCTTGCCTGGCACTCTAAAGGATGGGCATCAAAGCCCTGTTCTGCCACTGACTAGCTTTGTGACCTTGGTCAAGTCTCTGATCCTCAGGTTCTGAATTTATAAAATGGGATGATAACATCTTCCCAATGCAAAAACAAATGAGATAATAACAACTTCCCCAACAAGGTACTTCTGAGGAATAAACGATATTGTGCAGCAGAGCTTAGCAGAATGCTAAGCTGTTATTTTTTTTTTTTTACTACATTTTGATTACTGAAGTAAGATAATATATCTAGGAAGAACAAAAATCTAAACTTTGCTTATAAAGTGAGAGGCTCCAAGATGTTGTTTCACAGTCTGAGAGCAAGACCTAGGATTCACTGTGGTATACTTACTGTGTGTCAGGCACTGGCTTGGTATTTTATGTGATTGTCTTATTGTTTATCATAGCCTCCATCATCATAGGTATGATTGTGCCTGTTTTATAGATGAGAAAACTAAAGTTCAGAGAGACCTGCCCTTGAGGGTTTTAGGGTTGAATCTGGAGCTTGGATTTGAAGCTGTGCCTGCCCAGCTGCAAAGCTTAGGCTCTTTTACTGCATCTGAGATGCAGTGAAATGATAAGGGCATGGGATGAGGAAACTATTGTTCTCCTCAGTGTTTTCTAGCATAAAGTCTCATCTCAGTTGGCCAGGATCCTTCTAATGCCCCTGTGGAGAGCAGGTCTTTTACTCACTCACTTTGGAGACCTGGATCCCATGGTGACTCCCAAAATCAGGACACGTGATCTGTTGATACAGCTTTTCTGGCTTATTAATTAATCCATATGAAAAATACAGTTTAAATCAACATTTAAATAGACATGTTAATAATTCACCTTTATTGGACAGTTCAAATTAATGGAAGTCATAGTATTCCAGAGCACTAAGAAAGAGGGAAGAAAAGATGTTCCCATCAATGAAAGCTGGAGGGGTAGGGTCCCAGCCCCCACACTTTTCTACATAGGACTGAGGTGCATCTTCTTCTGGCACCCAGTCACATGGCAAAAAGACAATACTAGATGTAGGCTGGAAGCAAAGCTCCAAGCCCCTCAAGAGCCCTGTGCACAGCTGAGGGAGGAAGGTGTCTTGGTGTTGACTGTCTTCCTTGGTTTTCTAACATTTCCTTTTTAGTGATGCCTACTGGCTTCAGGGTGATCTATAAATGACATAGTTTTTAACCCAGCTGACACTATGTCCTATAAACAGATATATCTGATTTTACAAATGACCTAACCTCTTGTCTTGAGCCTCTAATTCATTGTTTCCATCAAATTCCTGTCTCCTGCTCTATAACTCAGAGCTGATTGTTTGGATAACAGTTAGCCTGCTCTAATATTGTCAGGGTTTGCAGAGCTGGCCCAGCGAGCCTGGCTTCCCTGTTTGTCTGGAATCCACCAGTGCATCCTGGGACTGCATAGAAAGTCAGCCTGTGGTTTCCACTTCCTCTAGAGTGATGGATTTCCCTAAGCTTTCTGCAAGTAGGCAGAGATCACTGGTCATGCAGGGCTCTCTGTGGCTTTGAGCTTCATAAGGCACCTCATTCTACTGTATCCAATTCCTTGTACCCCAAGAGCAAGGCAGGGGCCAGTAACAGCTGAGTTAGTGAGGAAATTTTTATTTCCTAGGAAGACTCCTTATCAAGGAGAATCTAGAGCTATGTTGTTCAATAGTAGTAGCTTCTAGTCTCAGGTGGCTTTTTAAATTTAAGTTAGTTAAAATAAAAAATTCAATTTTTCATGTGCACTAGCCACATTTCAAGTTCTTAGTAGCCACGTGTTGCTAGTGACTACTATATTGGACAGTGCAGAGGTAGAATATTTCCATCATCATGGAAAGTTCTCTTAAACAGTGCTAACACATGTTGCTGCTGATCTGGCAAGTAGGTTCAATGATAAGAAATAGATTTGTTATTAGGATTCCTACTCAGTTATGGAAGCCTTCAATGGAAATATGCCTGTTAAACTTCAACATATTAGTTCTGATCCCACGCCCATTTACCGAGCACCTATTGTGTGTTGTGGGGAGAAGTGTAAGGATTACAGGTGATGCAGACATGGTTTCTGACTCTGATATGAGAGCCCCTATTCTTGGTTTAGGGGGTTGGGAGGCATATGGAAGCAGATACTGCCTGCAATCTAGGGTGATGTTGGTGGAGATTGAGGGGCAATGAAAGGACTGTGCAAGCATAGACTAGGAGTGAGCTCCTCTACTTGCTTCATCAAGGAATGCTCGCCCAAACAGAAGACATTTGAGCTGCATCTTGAAGTGTGATTTTTCTTGGTAGATTATAGAGAACAGGAGGAAGGCAGGAGAGTAACAGAAAGTCCTAGAAGTTGAGATCCTGGATGGTTGCTTTGTACAGGGGACCAAAAGCAGTCCTATGGATTAGGGTATGGAGAGACTGTATCTGAGATACAGAGAAATGAGGGAAGAAAGGACTGGAAGGAAAGGTACAGAAAAGATAGGTCATGAAGGTGCTTAAATGCCAATCTGAAGAATTTGGGTTTTATTGTGTAAATAGTATTAAGTCATAGGACACTTCTGTTCTTGGTTGGTTTTGGTTTTTGTTAATCCTCACCTGAGGGTATTTTTCCATTAATTTTTAGAAAGAGTGGAAAGGAGAGAGGGAGGGAGAAAGAGAGAGAGAGACAGACAGACATTGATGTGAAAGAGACGCATCAATTGGTTGCCTCCCACACAACCCTGACGGGGGCTGGGATCGAACCTGCAACTCAGGTACATGACCTTGACTGGAATCGAACCCATGACCCTTTGGTCCACAGGCCAATGCTCTCACCACTGAACAAAACCAGCCAGAGTAAGTCATAGGACACTTTTTTTTTTATCCTCACCCGAGGACATTTTTCCATTTTTTGTTCAGATAGAGTGGAAGGGAGGGAGAGGGAGAGAGAGAGAGAAACATCAATGTGAAAGGGACACATCGAGTGGCTGCCACCTGCACGACCAACCAGGGCTGGTGACAGACTGCAACCGAGGTACATGCCCTTAGCGGAAACTGAACCCAGGTCTCTCCGGATCACAGGCTGACACTCTAACCACTGAGCCAAACTGGCCAGGGCTATAGGACACTTTTAAGTGGAGTAATTACATGGTCAGGTTGCATTTTTGGACGATCCCCATGGCTGTAAAGCTCAGAATGGATTGGTATGGACAAGGCTAGAGGGCGGTGGCTGGGTAGGAAGCTGTTCTTTAGCCTGGGTGAACGAAAATAGGCATGGACAGAGCAGCAGTGACTATTGGAATAGAGGGGCAGCACAGAGTTAGGAGATGGCAGTGAGGTAAAGTCAGTGGGACTTTGAGTGGAAAAGTTGGGGATGCTGCCAGTGGGTGGGCACCAATGTCTTAGCCAAGATAATGGAGCCTGAGAAGAGCAGGCTGAGGGGTGAGCCACTTTGAATTTGAGTTGGGGTCTCTTGGATCTGAGATGCATGTGGAACTGCCCAAGAGGAAATGAAACTATAAGAACCTCTGGAATCAAGTTCATCACTGTAAAGCAGTCCCCTCTTTGCTAGAAACCCAGGGCCTGGAGTCTGTAATTAGCCATAGCTCTTTCCTACCTTGCCGGCTTCTGCGTTATCCCACTCCCCCAAAATGCCTTTACTTTTTCACAACTCTTGAGTGCAAGTGGGTTTCTGCTGTCATGAATAGGCTTTCCCAGATGATACATGACCACCTCCTTTTCTCTTCTCAAATATTGAATCAAATTTATGGTGCCCATTTTCCTTAATCAGGCTGTTATCAGACAGTGAGCTGGGTGAATTTGATTTAAAGCAGATTGTAGCACCAGCCAGTGACTGCTCCTGGCCCTAATCAAGACTCCTTCCCTCTCAGGAGAAGGTGCCTTGCACCAGATGGGCTGTAATGGGCACTTGTACCTCATGAGCACCAGCTGCATTTCTGCCAGATCTCTGGAAATTTCCCTCCCAGATTCCCTGCTCAGACCCTAGCTGTAAGGTTCAGGAAACACAGTCTTTTCTTTTTGCTCTGATAATGGGAGTGATGATGCTGATGCTATTAATAATAATAGTTAAAAATTATAGACTGTTGATTATGCCAAATTCCATCCTAAGGGCTTTACAGACATTATTTTAGTCCTCACCACCACCCTTAGAGACTGTACCAATATTACCCTTGTTCTTCAGATGAGGAGCATGAGGTTCAGAAAGGCAAAAACTCAAGGTTATAAAGCTAAAACGATATGGAGTTGAGAGTATTGCCTAAATCTGTTGTGATCCAAAGCCCGGGCTGTTTACTATTGCACTCTCCGAAATTCTTTAGCCTTTCCAAAAGTGTGACTTTCCGGAATGTGTCCTGGTGTTACAGTCTTACTTTCATCCTGGAGTCTGTGTGGGTGCTGAGATGGCAGTTCCTCGAAGGTTGTTGCTGGTGACTGCTCCTGGGGGTAGGTACATTTAGATGAATGAAAAAGAGACAACTGGCCTCTCAGCCCCCTTAATGGGACATAACTTATAGAGTGTCAGCTTCAATTGCTGACTGAATGGTCCAGTGGTTTGGGGGATCCTGGCAGGAATGTTTTTCTTGTCCTAGCATGCTTGTGTAATGGGAACCCAGAAGAAGAATGGGTGTTTTTGTCCAACTTTTTGGCTTTGAATGCTGATAATTTGTAGACAGGGAATACAGGGGCGTTAGAACTGTGGAGTGGGCAGATGTGGAGGAGGCACGGCTGCAGGAGAAAGCCAGCCCATGAAACAGAGAACAATTTGTTTATCAAGGGGTGGGATGCGGGGTGTGGAGGAAAGCTTTGCAGTCAGGCTGTGGATACTGAGTGGGGGCTGCTGGGCTGGCTGCCATCCCCCCCACACACACTGCCACAGGTCCATGATGGTAGCCAGTCCTAAGAAATTTGGAAAAGAGATATGTGCTTTCTCTAAGAGAAAGGGCGGATCTGGGACATATGCTCAGGCCAGGCAGTTGGGAGCTCCTTTGTGTCTCTTAATCCAAGACTCAGCCAGGAATAAGGTTGGCACTCCTGGCTAAGGGGTCTGGCTGATAGCCACACACCTGCAGGTTCTGTAGTGCCAAAGTAGCACTTGGGGCAAGAGGTTGCTGATTAAGGGAGAGAGTGTTATCTTTGCTTGCTGCACTGCTTTGGCCACCAGACAGATGCTGACAGTGTTGTTCTGCTTACAACCCCCTTTTTTATACCCTACCCCCTGCCACCCCTACCTCACCCCTCCAAGCAGATACTAGGAATTTGTCCTCTCAAGAACAGAAGTAGCCAACCAAGTACTGTGATGAGGAGGAAGCCTCACTCCTGGGCACACTGCCTCCTGCAAGTCTTAGCATCATGGAAGCCCAGCAGGCAGTTCTGGGTTGGGTCTGCCTGAGTTCCTGTGGGAACACAGAGCTCTCTTGGTCCCTGGTGTAGCATGTGGTAGCCTTTTGCAGTTACCAGTTAGGAGCAAGGCAGTCAGTTAGGAGACAGTATAGTGCTGAGAAAGCAAGAGGCTTAGAATTAGAAAACGGGTTTAAACCTTGGCCCACCACCACTTATTTACTATGTAACCTTGGGGAAGACACCTCTTCTGTTTCCTCATTCCCAGCATGAGGTGATATTACTTACCTCACGGACTCTCAGGAGGGTAAAATGTAAGAATGCAAAGGGGGCACAATAAATAACCTCTGAGTCTTTGTTTCCACATGTGAACAAAGAGAATTACAGCATCCATTTTGGGGATTTATTGGGAGTATCCAGTGAAATAACATGTAGAATTGTTAAAAATTTTGATTTTCTTCATTAATGTTAGAGATAGAAACATCGATGAGAGAGAATATCGATTGGCCTCCTCCTGAATGTCCCGTACTGCGATCAGGCCCACAACCTGGACATATGCCCTGACCGGGAATTGAACTGGCAGTCTCTTGGTGCGTGGGTCATGCTCAACCGCTGAGCCATACTGGCCGGGCTACATATGTAGAATATTTAACAAAGTGCCTGGCAAGTAGCACACTCAACAAGTGGTACAGTGGTAGATAAGTTTATTTATGGTGGTTTTTCAGTATAAATTTGCCTTATCAGCCAGTCTGGGAAAGTATTATAAAGTCATAAAAGTCAGGAGCAGAAAGAAACGGAGTCAGCCATTGAACTTCAAATCAGCTGACTGAAAAAAACCCTGGCACAGACTGACTGGGAACTGAACCTTGAGGCAGAGGGTCAGAGCTCTGATTGGACAGAGCTGCTGCGGCAGCTCCCCCTGGTGCTTGAGAAGTGCAGGTGCCTCTGGCCCCAGCCAGAGCCAGACTTTCTCCAGGGAAGAAAAATGGCCTGCTTGTCCCACAAGCCAAGCCCTTGCAAAGCCTACAAAGTCAATGCAGAAAGCAGTAGTACATCTCCAGGTGTTTTGAACTCTACCCAGTTAGGGCCTTCTTGCCTGGCACGGAGCTGTACGGTTATGTTCATTACCCAGATCTGAACATATTACCAGGAAACAGACATGGGCTAAGCATCTCTGTGACTGAGCTGCATCTGAGACCTGTCTGGATTGTTCCTTGGCCCATAGTTCAGCCCACTCCTAGAATGGCGGAGGCTGGACCTGACCCCAGCTTTTATAAACTTCTGCTTCCCATTAAGCCTTTGCCTCCTTGGTTTGGTGATATTTCCATCTCTGTTATGAGACATTCTCCACTATGACCCAGAGTATTAGTCCCCTAGCCTGGCACTCCTTTGCCTAAAACTTGGTCTTTTCTCAAGGAGCATCTAATCCAAAGAAAGGAACTTTGAGTCTTCTCTGCTATGGGATGCCACCTTAGATAGTGGGAAAACCGGGGCCTTGGGGAATTAGCCTTGGTTCTAAGTTCTGGCTCTGCCACCACCTAACTGCATGCTTGTGGACCAGTCCCCTCTATTCTTTGACTCCAGTTTCTTATCTGTACACTGGTGATGATGATCTCACCTCATACATAGGGCTGAGAAAATTAACTGAGATAATGCACATAAAGTGCCCAGCATAGAGACTGGCATGGCATGGAGGCTCAGTTAATGTTTCACTCCCTCCCTAGCTGAAGTCAAGGATGCCCAATAAAAATGTTCACTGTGCCCTGCTGGAAACAGTGAACTTAAATAAATACGATCAGCAGCTTTTTCTGCGTTGTGGCAGAGGCTTGCAGAGAGTCAAATGGCAGCTGCTACTGAAACTGAAGCAGCATCTCAACAACAGCAGTATGTTAATGACATCATATTTCTCCACATTTAATCCCAAACCTCCTTTGGTCCTTGTTACCCCAAGCAGGCAAGCATTATTATTGTACAGAGAAGTACCTCAAAGCTTAGAGGGGTCAAATGACTTTCCCAAGGTCTTGTAGCTTTTTTTTTTTTTTTTTTTTGAATCCTCACCTGAGGATATGTTTTTTTGATTTTAGAGAGTAAGTGGGGGGTGGGCATTGATGTGAGTAACAATTGGTTGTCGGCTGTACGCACCCCAACCAAGGATCGAACCCGAGGTATGTGCCCCGACTGAGAATTGAACCTGCAGCCTTTTGGTATACAGGAAGATGCTTCAGCTAACTGAGTCACCCAGCCAGGGCAAGGTCTCATAGCTTTTATGTGATGGAACTGGATTTAGATATGATCGACCCTACTTGACCTTGGGAATAGCATTTTGTATGAGCTGTCTTGCTTGGCCGCTAGACAAACCATGGATCCACATGTTCTTCACAAACAATTCTGGATTCTGTTTCTTCCGAGCTCATCCTCTACCAATGTTAGATGCCTTAAGGAGCTGTCAGAAACCTCTGTTTTTCCTTCCCTGATCTCTGCTGGTGTCAGAGCCCACTGTTAACACCTGTGTCCATTCCCCAGATTTAGTGATGAAGGGATGGAGGTGATCGAGCGGCTCATCTACCTGTATCACAAGTTTCATCAGCTAAAGGTCAGCAATGAGGAGTATGCTTGCATGAAAGCAATTAACTTCTTAAATCAAGGTGAGTGGCTTGGGTGTGGGAAAGAGGGGACCTTTGTTTTTTGGCCAGTGAACAGTTTTCCCTCATGCTTCATGCCCTTTACCCTAGGGACCGTCACACAGAGTGTGACACACCATATGGGTAGCAGTCTTGGAAAGCCTAAGCTTTCCTCTCCATCATTGTGCCCCTCTGTAGTGCAGGGCATGATTTGGGTTTTTTCTTAAAACCTAAATGCCACAGTCTCTATAACTCATAGCAGAAGGAAGAGGATTTGCTTTGTTAAGTCAGTTTCAATGTATTTAAACGCAGACACCAAGGACAGTACATGCGTCATTTAAAATATGTACCAAGTTTACCAGTGACTGAAGAAGAGCAGAGTGACTGATGAAACTATTGGAGATAAGGCCTCTGCGACAGGCTGGCAGTGGTTCTGACGGCCCCTTCAGGCAGAGTGGGGTTCATAGAAATTCATATCAAGCTTGGATTTTGTTGTTGTTTTTGCTGCTGCTGTTGTTAATCCTCATGAGAGGATATTTTTTTCCGTTGATTTTTATTTTTATATTTTTTTAATCCTCACTTGAGGATATTTTTTCATTGATTTTTTGAGAGAGTGGAAGGAAGGTAGGGAGGGAGGGAGAGAGAGAAAACATGGATTGAAACACATTGATTGATTGCCTCCCATATGCACCCTGACTGCGGCTGGGGATCAAACCTGCAACTCAGGTACATGCCCTTGACTGGGAATCTAATCCGTAACCCTGTGGTGTGTGGGCTGACGCTCTAACTACTGGACAGCACCAGCCAGGGCTCAAGCATGGATTTTTTTTTTTTAATAGGTTTTTATTGATTATTTTTTTTTTAGGGAGAGAGAGATAGAAACATGGATGTGAGAGAATGGCAGCAATCGGCTGCTTCCTGCACGCCCCCTACTGGGGATTGAGCCCACAACTCGGGCATGTGTCCTGACCTGGAATCGAACTGGGACCTCTCAGTCCATGGAACAACGCTCAATCCACTGAGCATAGCTTTTCATTAGAAGTGTGCTGGGTGTGATTTAAGTGTAGTATTACCTGTGAAGTGGGGCTTGGTAGCTGCTGGTAACCAGAGTACGAAGGAGAATTTGAGTCCTCTTTTTTCCAAAGTAGCATCTGGGTGCTCTGCTCTCAGAGTGGAACTGGGCTGTTTTGCTGTCTGTGACATTATAAGTGCTCTGTTCCTGCGTTCACTTGCCTAGTCCAGAGACTCAACCACTCCTCTCTACTTCCTCCTCCCCCTCCTGCTTCTGTACCAGTCGTGCATGCATCTGGTATTCTGTGTGCCTCCCCTAGGCCAGGCCCTGGGGTGAGCATTAAAGACATTGAAAAATAAATTAGATTCTAGGTTCCTGGCCTCAAGAAATATACTCTGATGGCATGTGACATATTACTTGAGCCTCAGTTGGGGGGAGATCAGTAGCAACTACTTGGAGGAGGAGAAATCTAGGTTGGGCTTCAAAAGCTGGGTAAGATTTATATAGAGAATATCCATATTTTTATATTTAAAAAAGGGGGTAGGTGTGTGTGTGTAAAGAAATGAGAGAGCCCTGGCCTGTTTTGCTCAGTGGTTAGAGCATTGGCCCGCAGACCAAAGAGTCGTGGGTTCAGTTCTGGTCAAGGGCACATACTTCAGTTGCAGGTTAGTCCCCAGCCCTGGTAGGGGTTGTGCTGGTAGCAGCCAATCGATGTATCTCTCTCACATTGATGTTTCTCTCTCTTTCTCCCTCTCTCCTTCTCCCCCTCACACTCTATCTGAAGATAAATGGGAAAATATCCTTGGGTGAGGATTAAAAAAAAGGAAGAAAGAAATGAGAGAGAGAGAGAACTCTATATATAGAGTAGTATGAGCAAAAATACAGGAGACCAGCCCTGGCCGGTTTGGCTCAGTGGTTGGAGCGTCGGCCTGTGGACCAGAGAGTCCCAGGTTTGGTTCCCACTAAGGGCACGTACCTCGGTTGCAGTTTTTCCCCAGCCCCGGTTGGGGTCGTGTGGGTGGCAACCAATCGATGTGTCTCTCTGGCGTCAGTGTTTCCCTCTCTGTCTTCCTCCTTCCCGCTCTATCTGAAGATAAATGCAAAAATGTCTTCGGGTGAGGATTTAAAAAAAAAATACAGGCGAGCATGTGAATATATGTACAGGCATGAATGTTGAGGTGTCAGCATGGCTTCTGATTGGCTCCAGCAAAGGGCAAATTTAACAGTATCGTGAAGGACAAATTAGGTAAGGTAGATTAATCAGTCAGTTAGTGGTTCAGCATCTAATGGTGCCTGTTTTGTGTCAAGACCTGTGCTGGGAGCCAGGTGTGAAGTTGAGAAAGATAACACCTAGCTCTCAAGGGGCTCAGTCTAGTGATTGTCCTGTATAATTTTTTTCTTCTTTATCTGTTTTCTCTTCCCTTATCCAGAACTTTGTTCCTCCATTTCAGAAAGAGAAAAGATCCCCTGTTGTGACAGTGTTTAATAACTTTCATTGAAATATGCATCTATTCGAGGAGTTGGTGTTTCTTCCACATTAGAAAGCCCTTTCCATAACCTGTGTGGTTTTCTTCACAGATATCAGGGGTCTGACCAGTGCCTCACAGCTGGAACAGTTGAACAAGCGATATTGGTACATTTGCCAGGATTTCACTGAATATAAATATACACATCAGCCAAACCGCTTTCCTGACCTCATGATGTGCTTACCTGAGATTCGGTATATTGCAGGTAACATTCCAGGTGCTGGTTTACCAACCCTTCCTTGCTTCTCTCAGCTTATAAAGAGAATGAGGCAAGCAGTGTTTTCAGAAGTTCATTCCAGGCCCATGACTGACCAACTAACTGCATAAAAGCAGTATGACCCTCGCCCTCAGAAAAGTTCACACTACACCAAGAAGTGTGCATTTTCTTTGTAGGGAAAATAATCTAACATTTTCTCCGCACCTGTGATGTGCAGGGTACTTTGTGGCCTTATATCATTTAACCTCAGAGCAAACTCTGTGGATGGGAAACAGGCTCAGAGTTTCTCAGATTAACTTCATTTCTGGATTTATAAACTGTAAGGGTGGATTTTATGGTAAGTGAATTAATTATATCTCAATTTTCTTTCATAGAATTGCCTCTAGGCATTTTGGGGATCATTCATTTGAAGCCGGGGTGGGGAACCTTTTTCTGCCAAGGGCTATTTGAGTATTTATAACATCATTTGCAGGCCATACAAAATTATCAACTTAAAAATTAGCCTGCTCTATTTGGTCAGGCTAGTTTGGTGAGGTGTGTGATGTTCGCTGGGATTGATTTCTTGGGCCTTGACAGATGTTCCCCAACCCTGATTTGAAGTGATATCTTTAAAATAATTCTCAAATTCGCCCTGGCCAGTTTGGCTCAGCGGTTAGAGTGTCGGCCTGTGGTCCGGAGAGACCCGGGTTCGGTTCCCGCTAAGGGCACGTACTTTGGTTGCAGTTTGTCCCCGGCCCTGGTTGGTCGTGCGGGTGGCAGCCACTCGATGTGTCCCTTCACGTCGATGTTTCTCTCTCTCCCTCTCCTTCCTCTCTCTCCCTCCCACTCTATCTGTACAAAAAATGGAAAAATATCCTTGGGTGAGGATAAAAAAATAAAATAAAAAATAAAATGTCTTTGAAAAAAAATAATAATAATAATAATTCTCAAATTCTATGTTTGCAAAGGAATTTTTGTTGTTTTGTTGTCTTGACTCCTGCTGAGCTTCTTGATATTTAAATAGGTCCTTTGAAATACAAAGTCCGGGTTTTAGTTGTTTTACTTCATTTGGTAGAGATTGTTGTTTAGAGTCACGCAGCACTTACTGAGGAGCAGCTCAGAGGTGAGCCTCTAGACAGAGATTGTTCCTGTCAAATTCACCAATAGAGTTTTGAAGGAAAAATTTTTTAATTTGGCAAAGGAATTTTTATTCTACTCTTTGGACCCAGAGTAATCTAGCAGATGTGAACTAGACCTCAGCTGTTAGGTTTGAGGGGTGTTCTGATGTCTGTGTCCCAGCATCTTCAGAGGAGACATTGGTCAGGTGCCCCTCTGAAGTGAGGGGCGGTCGCACCCCCCCCCCCCCCCAGAGCTGGCTCTCAGCCCAGCCCGCTGGGCTCGCCTGGGAAGCTCTGCGAACATGCCCATGTTTTGGTGACGCCTCCAGGGGTTCTGACTTAATTGGTATGAGGGGGCCTGGGCATCAGTATTTTTTAACTCCTCAGGTGACTCTAAGGTGCTGCCAGAGAGAACCACGGCCCGTTTGCAGGTGTTTACTGAGTGTTCTGAGAGGCCCTTCAGTGAAGAAACCTGCAGCCCCTTTAACCCTGGACTTCTCCATCTCTTTGTCCCTGACACACCCCCACCTCCTTTTCTCCTCGGTACTTTTACTAGCCCATTGTGCTGCTCCGAAGAACAATTTTTATAGAATGCTAGTTAGAGACTTCGTCAGGGGAAAAAGCAGAATATAAATTTCTTGTGGTAGTTAAGCTCTAAGAGGGCATCTAGGAATACATTCTCTCAGTTTCAGATTCCTCATCTGTAAAATGGGGATAAAAAGTAATATCTATCTCACAGAAATAGTGTGAGAATTAAGTGAGACGGTGCATTTAAACACCTGGCACAGAGTCAGTATTCCCTGGATAATAGCAGTGAGGGTAACTTCCGCCATTGCTAGGCTCTCTCAGGCACCACAGCGGGCCTGGCATTCGGACATCAGCCCACACTGTCTTTGTGATCCTCCTGGCACTGTCCTCGCCCCGTCACTCAGAAAGGCAGCATCCGCCCTTCGTCAGCCCGAGGAGGAGGACCTGCCCTTCCTCTAGCGCCGCTGCTAACTCTTCTTCTCCACCTTGTTCCCAGGAAAAATGGTGAATGTCCCCTTGGAGCAGCTGCCCCTCCTGTTCAAGGTGGTGCTGCATTCCTGCAAGACAAGTGTGAGCAAGGAGTGACCTGTTCCCGCGCCCTCCGCAGGCCGGCCGCAAAGCCTCGGGTGGGCAGGACGGGCTCCCGAAGAGCAGCCCAGAGACCAAGATGGAGGCTGTGGAGCAGCGTTCCCGATCGCCTCCTTAGCAAGAAGAGTTTGTGTTTGTTTGTCTGTTTTTTTTTTTAAGCTCAGTTTTCTATATATTTATTTCACGACAGAGTTGAATGTATGGCCTTCAACATGATGCACATGCTTTTGTGTGAATGCAGCCGATGCATTTCCTTGCAGTTTACAGAATGTGAAGATGTTTAATGTTACAGTGTTGTCATTGTTTAGAGATAGTTCTTTTATATTTTGAGGGAGGGTGGGATGGGGCTGAGATGACTATTTCCATAATGTTGACAAAGACGACTGACTACCTCAGTGGAAAGGGAGGGATGTGACCATCCCTACTTTTTCCACATGTTCTCAGCAGACTCATACATTTGTCTGTCAGAGAGCAAACTGCCTTTTCTAGCCACAGAATTGCCAGGTAAAAGCACACACCATAAAAGGGCAAAGTGGTGTTAGATTTCCTGAGCAAAGTGGGGGAGACAGTGGGATCAGTGCAGGAGATGAGGATGTAAGCCATCCCTTTCTATGGAAAGCATGAAAGCTGAGAGGGGGGCACAGTGACCAAATCTAAGTTTAGTGTCCTCCCTCCGAACAAGTCCTCAGGGAGAAGGGTTTCTATTCTCACACCACACTGCGGGGCCCCCACCCCACCATCTGAACCACCACTATCAGTTTCTGCCACTGTTAACTTTTCCTCCAGGCGAGGTCCTGGCTATAGTGTCATCCTCGGGCCTTGCCTACCAGCTCCCTTGGGGCTCACAGCTACCTGGTTTCCTTACCTGGATCTGCCAAGGCTTGCTTTCCTTAGACTCCTTGCCTCTTCCTTATAAACTTGACCTCCTATTGGCCGTCTGAAAAAACAGCCAAGCAGTGTCATGCTCTGAATCCAGGTGCCTACTCCTGATTTCTTTTCCTTTCACCTTGTTTTCTTCAAGGGGTAGTGGGACACAGTCCATACTGCTAAAAGAATAAACACTCCTACTTTGGAGTTCTCTGTCGTCCCCCCCACCCCTCCAGTCCCATCCTGGAAAGACCATTCACCCTTCTGACCAGAATTTTTGCCTTTATATTCCACTCCAAATTCTTCTAATCCCTCCAAAATGAGACCAGGATTCCTCAGCAGAAAGCCCAAAGCCCAGAGTGGCGCAGCTGCCCTTAGAGTATCAGTGTCCTGGCCAAGGCCTGGAGGGCTGGAGTTCCAAGCACCTGGAAGGGAAGGGGGGCTTTAAACTACCTCATGTTCCTAAGGGCCTGGCTGTCCCTTCTCCAGACTATAGCCTGGCCCCCTTGATCTTTCACTACCTGCCCCACCTACCCTGGGGAGTGTTCCTTCCCCTCTTGGCTTTGGCCAGCAGCCACGCCGTAGCTGTTGGAACTCTTTAGGTGCTTTTCCCTTCACTGCCTTACTACAACACCTGTCCCTGCCTACACCCAGGTACCTCGCACAGCCAGTGCAGCAGACAGACCACTTAGAGGGGTGCACCTCTGGGTGGGCTTGAAGGGCCTACAGCACCTCCTTTTGCCTGTTTAGTCAAAGGCCATTTGCTCTCTTCCTAGCCCAGCCTAGAAGACTGGGCCACCGTGGGCCACCACATTGTGTGCAGACCAGGTAGTCTGTGTCAGATTGTAATTTTTCTTTCCAGTGAAATGTTACGGGTACCAGCAGAGTGATGACTGTCCTTTGATGGATTTGAAACTCAGAGCATTACTCCTCAATGCCATTTCCCCACCTGCTCTGAGAGAGAAGAGATGTGTTCCTCAGGAAAGGTCTAATCAGAATGTTTTTCACATGTCAATGGGAAGGTGTGTGTGTGTGTCTGTATCTGTTTATTTCTCGGTTCACAATATTTTTGTTTCCCCGAATGTTTTATTTAACCAACTAGGTCACATTCTTTGGCTACAGGTCAGACTCCGAGCTGTTTTCCTCCACATAGGGAAGAGGCACATATCGGAGCCCCTTCTCCAAGATGGCTCCTGTGTGTAGTATCTCTCTTTGCTTAGACCTCCATCTGTCAAATTATTACTATTTTTTGAAATGGCTTTTCTCTAAAATTAAGCATTTTACCGGGTTGGTTTGGTATCAAAGGAAATTGCTCTCTGGTGAGGCAAGAACATGTCTCTCCAATAACACAGCATTAAACAGAGCAAGTTGTTAATTTGTGGAGTGGGGGAAAGGTTCTGCAAGTTGCCATTGTACAAATCCATTTTTACAAATGTTTGCAGCAGATTCCACAGAACAAAGAGCCCATTCATTGCAAGTGCCCTGCAGAATCTCGGAGCCAAGTGGCCGTGTGTTCTGAGCCAGAGCCTGACCTGTGGACCGCCTTTAATGTCTTCTGCACCCAGTCCTTTTTATGACGTGGGCTTTTTTTAAACAGGGTAAAATGAATGTGTTGCATTGCAAACTCAGGTATTACGAGGAGATGGTAGGAGTGTAGCTAGCAGTGTGGAGACGTTAGGTCAGCCACTAGATGTATTTGTGAATTTGGTTTGAAGGACACAGAGAAAGGTTGGAGGGGGAGGTGTGTTGTGTTTGTTTTTTTGCCTTTCTTCCCATAAATTTTGGTTAACAGGTAGCCTTTTTGCTAGTGGAAGAAGAAAATGTCATGCATGTGGTCTCTTGATTTCCCTCTCTCCTGTCCTCTCTCTGATCTCCTGCCACCAACAGCACTCATTTTGAGTGGGAAATTTTGCACCATAAAACTATGGCCCTGAAAGCCACGTGGTCAAGGAGAATCCCACCTTCTTGTACTGCATTGAAACACGCAGGCTTTTCCCTTCCTTTCCCTTTGAATGTTTTCTTGACCCAAGACAAAATTTGGAATCTTGGAACTTCACATACAACTTATGCTCGCTGGCTCCTTTGTAGACTTTTGGAGTCTTTCACAAGGTTTGGTGGTCTTAACCTTAGTCTAGAGAAACTTCCCAGAACCTGTCTCAAAGCATTCCATCTGGCTCAAAGGGACAGACACCCAGCCTCCATGCCCAACCCATGAGTGAGGTGGGTGAACTTCCAGGGATAGAAAGCAGCAGGCAGGAACTTTCCTGTTCTTCAGAACCAGAGGAGGAATAGAGGGACGCTAGGGTCTCCATGGCATATGGAGTTACCCGCTCCACACCAGCCTGCCTCTTACCTGCCACCCCCTTCTCAGGGAAGTGAGTACCTGCCATGGCCAGGTCACCAGGCCCTTAAAACCTTGGGCTCTTGGCTAGCTGCCCTGCTCTGCTATCCATTTCTTTTCTTAGTGTTCTTGATTTGCTGGGGAGTGGGGCAGATGGAGACAGACAAGCCCAGCATGGGCAACATCTAAGCCATGTGCAAGGTTGGCCAAACTAAAGGGACCCTGGCCTCCCATTGGGGCAGGAAGTTGAGCAGTGGTTCCAAGTCTTTAGCTCTGGGCCCCTGGTCTATGTCTTTCTTTGTTGCTTTTTAAAATTTTGTAATTGTTTTTAAGAAATCCAGTCTTTCAGACCAGCCCTTTTACTTTCTTTATTGATTTTTTTAAAGTAAAAATAAAAAAAATAAAAAAAACCCTCAAAAACAAAAAAACTCACTACCCTTTCCCCACATTGACCCATGAGCACCCCCTGCACTTCCCTGCCTTTGCAGTTGATCATTCCTCCCTTTTCCCTCGGCTTGAAGCATCTATGTCCAGTGTCTGTGAAATGATGTTTTATCTGTGTCTCAGGATGAGAAACGGCAATCATTCCACCAGGTGCTGGAAACTGGTTAGCCTTGAGGCAAGGGTTTCTAGGGCCACAGCTCAGGGATGTCTATTTAATTACAGGGTCCCCAGAAACCCCTCTCTCGGCTGCCACAAGCAGCAGCTTCTTTCCTGGGCTTGGATGTAAGACCTCGACTGTTTCCTCTGAGGCAGGAGCCCCAGAGAGCATCCCGAGTCTGGGAGCGAGCTGGGCTTGCCCTGGCCATTCCTGGGCTACCTTGAGGCTTGAAGACTGCTGGCTGTCCTGGAACACAAGCCACAGTGGCCCTGCTCTGCCCGCTGGTCCCTCTGTCCGATCCAGTCCCTGTCTGGTTTGCCTCCTCAGGGCCTGCAGCCCCGGGTGGGCCACCGCCTGCTCAGGAATCAGCTGCAGGCTCAAAGGGGGGCTGCGAGTCAGGCCAGAGCTTGCTCCAAGCCCAAGAAAAAAGCTGTGTTGCTGATGGAGGCTAGTCTTCCGAATCCTGGAGCCAGCCCTGCCAGCCTAAATACCATTTTTGCCCTTTGTGATCATGATTTCCTTTCTCTGAAATATTTTATAATAGGTGATAATGTTGTTGACTCAAATTTTCATGAAAAAGAAAAAAATACTACCTCTTGAGTGACATCCTGGTCGATTCCTCTGAGAAATCCTGTGGGAAGAGAAGAGTGTAGCTCCTGCTCTGTTTACATGTTTCTGTCGGGAGAGAAGCCCTGCCTGCCCTGGGGGTTGGTGTTTTTGTCTGTGTTGCCCTCCCAGGCCTGCGATAGGGGCTTGTGGGTGCGTTGTAATGTCTGCGCTGTGTCTAGGGAGTCCTTCACACCTGCCTAGCCAGGGACTAGCCACCCCCTTGAGGCCTCTGTTTCCTTCCTGGGATCCAAGACACAGGAAGCACTGTCCCACTGTCAGGGGCTCTGGTGGCACATGCATTCGCAAGCTGACCCCGGGCTGCCTGTCCGAAGTCCACCTCTACCCACAGCCTGTGTAGGAATCAAGTAAATGGATGTCTCTGAGCCCTTGTCCCCAAGGGGCCGGCCAAGGGCCACCCACCAGCCTGGCTCCATCAACCCTGCATGACCAAGCGATAGTTGGTGGGCTCTGCAGGCTACCCCAGGCCCTCTGCTACCTCCCACCCTGCCAGCTGGCAAGGGATGGGCCCTTTTCTGTGAATTGACTACCTGTGGAAATGTGACCAATTAGTGTGAAATGCATGTTTAGAAAATGTTAGGTACTGTATTTGAACCAATAAATGTGAATCCTGAACATGGCATCTGTCTGTGACGCTTGTCTGGGGTCCTGGGGAGGGGCAACGGGGTGTTCTAAGGAGCTGGTTCATGCCTTCAGATCTAGTTCCTGCTTGACACCCACCCAGTCCTACTGCCGAGGGAGAGTCTGGCGGAGGGATGTTGCTTAGAACTGGATTCATGAAGCTGAAGTGCCTGCTCTGTGCCTGGCGCTGCCACTGTGTTGGGGCTTTTCACAAACCTGA